GGGGCGGGGCCACAGGGGACAGGTGTGCTGGGGCGGGGCCGCGGCAAGGGGCGGGGCCAGGCTGAAGGGCGGGGCTACAGAAAGAGGCGGGGCCATTCGGGACAGGTGGGCTGAGGGGCGGAGCCAGATGAGACAGGGGTTAAGGGGCGGGGCCAATGAAATGGGCGGGGCCAGACAGAAAAGATAGGCTGAGGGGCGGGGCCAGGGGAAGGGGCGGGGCCAGGCAGTACAGCGGCTCTGGGGGCGTGGCCTGCACAGCCAAGGCGGGGTTAGAGTGGTGGGGAGGGGCCTAAAGAGGAAAGGGGCGTGGCCTGGCCAGCAAGGGCGGGGCTTGAGCCTTGGGAGGGGTCTTAAAAAGGGGCGTGGTCTGGGCAATGAGGGCGGGGCTTGAGCCCTGGGGAGGAGCCTAAATGGAAATGGGCGTGGCCTGAATCGTGAGGGTGGGGTTTGAGCTCTGGGGAGGGGCCTAAAGGGGAAAGGGGCGTGGCCTGACAACAATGAGCAGCACCACTTATGGCAAAGGGGGCGGGGCCTCCTCGCAAGGGACGTGGCCACCATTTTGTGGGTGTGGCCATATTTTTATGGGCGTGGTCATCATTTTGAAAGCACCTCCGCCATTTTGTCACTTGCCCACCATTTTGTGGGTGCGGCCACAATTTTACACGCACGGCCGCAATCTTGTGAGCGTCAGCCATTTTGTGGGTGTGGCCACCATTTTGTGCATATGTCGGCCATTTTGAGCACCTGGCAGCCATTTTGTGGGCATGGCCACCATTTTATGGGCGTGGCCACCGTTTTGTGAGCCTGTCCGCCATTTTGTGGGCGTAACTACCATTTTAAAGGCATGGCCGCCATCTTGTGAGCGTGACGGCCATTTTGTGGGCGTGGCCGCCATCTTGTGAGCGTGTCGGCCACTTTGTGCACGCATCGGCCATTTTGTGGGCGTGGCCGCCATCTTGTGAGAATGTCGGCCGTTTTGTCCACCCGCCCGCCATGTTGTGGGCGTGTCCCGGCCCCGCCCTGCCCCGTGGCCCCGCCCTCACCTGCCGGATCTCCCGGCAGCGCCGTCCCAGCGCCTGCAGCTTCAGCCGGCGCCGCCGCAGCTCGGGGGGGTCCTCAAAATTAACCCAAAATGACCTAAAACTGAACCAAAATCACCCAAAATTAACTCCAAATGTCCCCCACCAGGCCTGGTGGGGGGAAGGGGCCCCAAATTCACCCCCAGTCCCTCCCAGTTGCTCCCAGTGCTCCCAGTCCATCCCAGTTCCCCCTGATCGCTCCCAGTGCCCCCCCCCCAGTCCCTCCCAGTTGCTCCCAGTCTCTGCTCCCAGTGCTCCCAGTCCATCCCAGTTCCCCTCTGATCGCTCCCAGTTCATCCCAGTCCATCCCAGTGCCCCCAGTTCGCGCTCCCAGTTCCCTCCCATTGCTCCCAGTTGCTCCCAGTTCCCTCCCAGTCCTTCCCAGTGCCCCCCCCATTCCTCCCAGCTCATCCCAGTCCCCTCTGATTGCTCCCAGTTCATCCCAGTCTCCCCCAGTGCCCCCTGGCCCCTTCCCAGTTCATCCCAGTTCATCCCAGTTCCCTCCCAGTGCTCCCAGTGCCCCCCCCCGTCCCTTCCAGTGCATCCCAGTTCATCCCAGTGCCCCAAGTCTCCGCTCCCAGTCCATCCCAGTTCCCCCCCAGTCCATCCCAGTCCCTCCCAGTTCCCCTCTGATCGCTCCCAGTCCATCCCAGTCCATCCCAGTCCATCCCAGTTCCCTCCCAGTTCCTCCCAGTTCCCCTCTGATCGCTCCCAGTTCATCCCAGTCCATCCCAGTGCCCCCAGTTCGCGCTCCCAGTTCCCTCCCATTGCTCCCAGTTGCTCCCAGTTCCCTCCCAGTCCTTCCCAGTGCCCCCCCCATTCCTCCCAGCTCATCCCAGTCCCCTCTGATTGCTCCCAGTTCATCCCAGTCTCCCCCAGTGCCCCCTGGCCCCTTCCCAGTTCATCCCAGTTCATCCCAGTTCCCTCCCAGTGCTCCCAGTGCCCCCCCCCGTCCCTTCCAGTGCATCCCAGTTCATCCCAGTGCCCCAAGTCTCCGCTCCCAGTCCATCCCAGTTCCCCCCCAGTCCATCCCAGTCCCTCCCAGTTCTTCCCGGTTCCACTCCAGTCCCCCCCAGTTTCTCCCAGTGCCCCCCCCGTTCCTCCCAGTCCCTCCCAGTGCCCCCAGTCTCCGCTCCCAGTTGTTCCCAGTTCCCTCCCAGTTGCTCCCAGTCCCCCTCTGATCGCTCCCAGTTGCCCCCAGTTCCCTCCCAGTCCTTCCCAGTGCCCCCCATCCCTTCCAGTCCATCCCAGTTCACTCCCAGTGCCCCCAGTTCATCCCAGTCCATCCCAGTTCCCCCCCAGTTCATCCCAGTCCATCCCAGTTCCCCCCCAGTTCATCCCAGTCCATCCCAGTTCCCCCCCAGTTCATCCCAGTCCATCCCAGTTCCCCCGCAGTTCATCCCAGTCCATCCCAGTTCCCCGCCAATTCCATCCCAGTCACTCCCAGTGCCCCCAGTCCCCACTCCCCGTTGCTCCCAGTGTCCCCCCCAGTCTCTCCCAGTCCATCCCAGTGCCCCCCCCGTTCCTCCCAGTTCCCTCCCAGTGCTGCCTATTCCCCCCCAGTCCATCCCAGTCCCTGACTGGGGGGGTCTGGGGGTCTCCAGTTCCTCTCCCAGTGCTCCCAGTTTGGAGCTGGCCCTCACTGGGGGGGGCTCTGGGGGTCTCCAGTTCCCCTCCCAGTGCTCCCAGTGCTCCCAGTTTGCCCAGTTTGGGGCTGTCTCTAACTGGGATGGGTCTCTGGGGGTGCCCAGCCCCCGTTTTTTTCCCTCCCAGTGCTCCCAGTCCCTCCCAGTTTGCCCAGTTTGGGCTGTCCCTGACTGGGGGGGGGGGCTCTGGGGGTCTCCAATTCCTCTCCCAGTCCCTCCCAGTTTGCCCAGTTTGGGGCTGTCTCTAACTGGGATGGGTCTCTGGGGGTGCCCAGCCCCCGTTTTTTTCCCTCCCAGTGCTCCCAGTCCCTCCCAGTTTGCCCAGTTCAGTCTGTCCCTGACTCTGGGGGGTCCCCAGCCCCCATTTCCCCTCCCAGTGCTCCCAGTGCTCCCAGTCCCTCCCAGTGTTCCCAGTTCAGGCTGTCCCTCACTCTGGGGGGGTTCCCAGCCCCCGTTTTTCCCCTCCCAGTCCCTCCCAGTGTTCCCAGTTCAGGCTGTCCCTCACTCTGGGGGGGTTCCCAGCCCCCATTTCCCCTCTCCCAGTGCTCCCAGTTTGGAGCTGTCTCTGACTGGGATGGGTCTCTGGGGGTTCCCAGCCCCCGTTTTTCCCCTCCCAGTCCCTCCCAGTGTTCCCAGTTCAGGCTGTCCCTGACTCTTTCTCCTCTCCCAGTGCTCCCAGTTTGCCCAGTTCAATCTGTCTCTCACTCTGGGAGTCCCCAGCCCCCATTTTTCCTCTCCCAGTTTGCCCAGTTTGGGGCTGTCCCTGACTCTGGGGGGGTCTCCAGCCCCCGTTTTTCCCCTCCCAGTGCTCCCAGTTTGCCCAGCCCGCCATGTCTCTGGCCGACGAGCTGCTGGCGGACCTGGAGGAGGCGGCGGGCGAGGAGGAGGAGGCCGAAGGCTCCGAGGGGGGGGAGGAGCCCCCGATCGAGGACGTGCGGGAGGAGCCGGAGCCGCCCGAGGGCGCCGAGTCCGTGCGGAGCATCGCCAAGCTCTGGGGCAGCAAGGGGGTAACAGCACACCCAAAACGGGCCAAAAACAGCCCAAAAATATCCTGAAATTATCCTGGAATTATCCTGAAAATAGTCTGGAATTATCCTGAAATTATCACAAAAATATCCTGAAAATATCCTGGGATTATCCTGGGATTGTCCGTGCGGAGCATCGCCAAGCTCTGGGGCAGCAAGGGGGTAACAGCACACCCAAATTATCCCAAAATTATCCTAAAAACAGCCCGAAAATATCCTGAAATTATCCTGAAAATATCCTGGGATTATCCTGGGATTGTCCGTGCGGAGCATCGCCAAGCTCTGGGGCAGCAAGGGGGTAACAGCACACCCAAATTATCCCAAAATTATCCTAAAAACAGCCCGAAAATATCCTGAAATTATCCTGAAAATATCCTGGGATTATCCTGGGATTGTCCGTGCGGAGCATCGCCAAGCTCTGGGGCAGCAAGGGGGTAACAGCACACTTGAGACATCCCAAAATTATCCTAAAAACAGCCCGAAAATATCCTGAAATTATCCTGGAATTATCCTGAAAATAGTCTGGAATTATCCTGAAATTATCACAAAAATATCCTGAAATTATCCTGGGACTATCCTGGGATTATCCTAGGATTATCCTGGGATTGTCCGTGCGGAGCATCGCCAAGCTCTGGGGCAGCAAGGGGGTAACAGCACACTTGAGACATCCCAAAATTATCCTAAAAACAGCCCGAAAATGGCCTGGGATTGTCCTGAAAATATCCTGGGATTATCCTGG